TTGGTATAGCATTGTTCCCAAATCTTTAAATGAGATTTTTTGTATGTTACGTAACACGCGCTCAAAACTAATGCGTATAATATACCACACGAGATTATGACTAAAATCAAAATTTTTATTTTTCGATACGTTTCTCAATCGGTAAAAAAACAACTTAAAAAGGTATGTTTAGTGCTTTATCTGTAAAATAATGCTAAAATGAAGAGATTTTAGATGATACGCCAAAGAGAAAATGATGTCTGAAGTTCAGTACGTTTTGCTTAAATGGCTGTAAATATAGCGTCAATTTTAAGACATCATTGATAATTGTATTTTAATTGGCAATTTTTAACTATTTATTTTATGTTTCTCAACCGGCAGACGCATTTAAAAAGGTAGCTAACTCTATAAACTGTAGAGAATAAATCTAAAACAAAGTAATTTTGAGAGGAAGCCAAAAAGATTTTAGGTTTTGAACACTTTTCATTACAAATACGTGACATTGAAAAAAAATTGCCTCTTAATATTTTAAAGAATAAGAGTTAGAAATGTTCGTAATGAATTGGAATCATCCATAATTTATACACTTGAATGTGCCGTATGATAACTCGGCACTCGAAGTTTCGTATCGAAAGAGGAACAGCCGAACAGGTATACGATGGCTAACAAGAATGAGCGTACGTACTTATCAACTTATCTAACGCGAGGAAAAGATCAAAATGGCAGGTATGGCTGTGATATCTAGTATATAAAATTGTATAGACAATTTGCCCACAAATACGGTGCTAGGTCAAAACGGCCCAAAGTCAAAACGGCCCAAAGTCAAAACGGCCCAAAGTCAAAATGGCCCCGCTTCAATAATCATATGATTTAGATCAGGGGTTAAAGGGCAATGACAATGACATGCAGGTGACATTTAACATGTGCGAGTGGTCGTCTCACTAAATTTGCGTGTTTAATAATGTTTATCAAAGAAGGCAAAAATATATACAAGACAACTTCACATGTGGAATCTGTTCACTTACGCACTGCGTTGTGATGCAGTACAAGTACAAATACAAATGACAAAGCATTTTTAAAGGCTTTAAATCCTAAAACATAATTAAATCATAGGCTACGGCACATTCAAGATTTTAATATCGTATTTCAGCCGCGTTTATACTGCTTGGCGCGCATTTGCTGCGTTATATTAATTTATATACCTATGTTATATACACAGATTTATTACTAATAAATCAACACTATATGATAATATATAAGAACTCACAAAGTGCAGTCACCTTTTTATAAGCATGTCATTGTCAACCAGAGGCAAAAAGCACAGCCACATAGGCCTACCAGATTTATTAAGCAATCGTGAGATTATATATATACATGGAAAGAATATGGAAATTATGTTTCACCCCGTATAATGACGAAAGCACCGCGTATAATGCTCGAACCACTGCGTATAATGGCGAACGCACCGCGTATAATGGCGAAAGCACCACGTATAATGCTCGAACCACTGCGTATAATAGCGAAACCATCGCGTATAACGCTCGAACCACTGCGTATCGACAAAATGCCGTTTGATCACTTACGCCAGCTATGGCTTTCCATAAAAGAAAACCAAAGATGAAAGATGATCACATTGCTTGTTTGCCTTATGCCTGTTTATTAGGCAAGAATAGCCTGCCGGCCCGGAAGCAGTGCATTGTGGTAGGCCGAAATACGCCGAAAGATCGAGATTTCATCTGCCTTATATATATATATATATATATATATATATATATATATATATATATATATATATATATATATACATATACATAAAGATTAGGACTGCTGCCTCGCTCGCTCGCTTCACGCTCGCTCGCTACGGCAGCAATAACGGCCTTTCAAAATAATGCTGACGTCAGCAATATAAATTATTCAAGCACCTTTATCTCGCGAAGGAATTACTGAATCGACTTGAAATTTGCAAGGATTACTTGTAGTAAGGATATGCAAAATATATAAAATGGGCAACTATATATGTTAAACGCTTGAGCTTTTAGAATTTTTATGACGTCACATGCAAACACTCTATAGAAGAAACAGAATAGTATGTTATAAAAATCTTACCAATTTAAAGCCTTCAACTGTCTTGGTAACCTAATAGTCCTAATTAGTCAACCTGATTCGTTCTTTCGTTGTTGTTGCACCAACAAAAATACGTTAATTCATAAAGAGGAAGTCCAGAGTACAACACAACATGAAAAACACAGTACAATTCGGTGACAACAATCGTAATTATCCATATATGTACACATGGAAGCACAAGTTTACGTTCCGATCAGGGCCGTAGCGGCCGGGGGGTGTAAGGGGGGGGGGGGGTGCAACACCCCCTGATAATTGCTCATGAGCCGATTTCAGGTAGATTTCCAGTAGATTTTTAGGTAAATTCAGGTAGATTTCCAGAAGATTTTCAAGTAAATTCAGGTATTTCTCAGGGCATGAGAAAGTGAATTTAAAAAAATAACTATGTGTGTGGAAAACGTTTTAGCAGTTTGTGGAAAATTAAGATATATCCGGAAAATTTTTTGTATTTTTGGAAAAATTCTGATATGTCCGAAAAAATGTTTGCATGTTTGCGAAAATTACGGTATATTAAGAAAAATGTTTGGTATGTCCGGAAAAAAATTTTGTGACTTCCCCCCCCCCATAATTTTGGGGAGAAATATTAATTAGCGACTAAAATCAGGTAAAAACAATAATTTTGATAATTTCAGGTAAATCGAACCTCACCCCCCATGAGGCAAAGTCCTCGCTACGGCCCTGGTTCCGATTTAGGTTACAGTGGAATGTTATTTTGTGACATCGTAATCGGGCAATTAATGTAAAAGCAAATTATTACTGAACAGTAATATTTCAATTACACTATACATGGCATATTGTAAACACTGGACTGGACTAGGTTTGGACTGGACTTTGGACTGGACTTTGGACTGGACTTTGGACTGGATTTTGGACTGGATTTTGGACTGGATTTTGGACTGGATTTTAGACTGGACTTTGGACTGGACTCTGGACTTAAAATTTTCTTTTTACAGTAAGATTTTCGCATAAATCCCCATGATTATCGGTAGAAACAACGAAAAGGAGCTCGATAGGGCCAATAGAATAACTTACGTCGCGTCTGCAAGATAATGCATGCCAATCTCGTTCCCAAAGCATGCCCGTTCGCAGGTTAGGGTTGGGCATAGTTCCAATCTCGTCAACCTCGTACCCAGGGTCCCCGTGTTTAAAGGTTCTGTTGCACGCGTGCACCAGAACCTTTGAACACCCCTGGGTACGAGGTTGCAATCTCGTTCCCAGAGCATGCCCGTTCGCAGGTTAGGGTTGGGCAATTTGCGACGTGAGTTGTACGCATACTCGGCAATTGTTTACTTAATATAAACAAGGTATTTAGAATTTCTCTTCGAAAATTTGATACTTTTTACACTGAAATCAATTAGCCTTTCTCACGATGACGAATATCCGCCATTTTTGGGTGGCATCCAATCAATTCTCGTTAACCAATGCAGACAATTAAAACAATGTGAAAAGCAATTTTTCAAAATAAACTAACCATTTACAAAGCAAATTTACCATCATTTGTCAAAAAAATTATAAAAAGTCGCTGTTATGTGGACTTGTCTCAGTCTCGCAGACTTTGGCTGAAAAGCCACCCAAAATGGCGGCGTGAGAAAGGCTAATTGAAAACAACTAAAAATTCTGGGGTAAATATGTACGAAAATTTCGGATTGATAGGGATACACTGCCTGAAAAATACAAGGAGAATTTCGACGTTTCGAGCGAAGGCCCTTCGACTTGTACTGTTAGTGTCTGTATACATCATACTTGACCTTTTATACTGTCGGTATTCATGATAAATATAATCTCCTCAAGAATGAGAGAATGTTTGCTGTGGAGTGTGGACCTGCGGTTGATTTCTTTAAAACTGTACTAGTGTACAAAAGGTTTAAATTTCCTTGACAATGGAATATTGACGTTGCTTTCATATATATATATATAGTCAGTATTTATGGTATACGTGGTGTTAGGTCCACACTTCACAGCAAACATTCTCTCATTCTTGAGGAGATTATATTTATCATGTATACAAACACTATAAACAGTACAAGTCGGAGACCCTTCGCTCGAAACGTCGAAGTTCTCCTTGTATATTTCAGGTAGTTGTATCCCTATCAATCCGAAGCTTTCCTACATATTTACCCCAGAATTTTCAGTTGTTTTCAATTGATTTCAGTGTAAAAAGTATCAAATTTTCGACGATAAATTCTAAATACTTCGTTTATATTTTTCAACAATTGCCGAGCATGCGTACAACTGACGTCGCAAATGCAACCGTGAATCAATTCGATTTCTCCCAGAGCTATGCCCAACTCAAACTTGCGAACGGGCATGCTATTGTACGTACGTTGTGCTATTGGACCTATCGAGCTCCTTTTCGTTGTTTCTAACGATAACTATGGGGATTTATGCGAAAATCTTACTGTAAAAATAAGTCCAGTCCAAAGGCCAGTCCAGTGTTTACAATATGCCCTATACACTGAAAACATTAGGCTATACACATGAATGCTACAAAGCTAATACCCAATCATAACGATGTGCAACAATTACCTAACTGAGCAAGATATTCAAATAGCAATGCAGTGCTGGAGGTACATGATTTATAATCAAAACTTACCAACAGGATTTGTGTCAAAGAAATATATCGGAGCTCTGAGAATAGTTCTAAACATCTCGTCATGTAAATGTCGTGATGCACTGGTTAGGATTTGAAACCAGAAAACCGCTCTAACAAATGACAACAGGCACACTGATATGACAGTACCAACATAGATCGTTATATTTTCGACGCGTTTTTCTTCTATTGTACTCTCAGAGTTATTGCTATTTGCTTCGGTTTCTTCCCAATCAGACCTGAAAATGCGTAAAGACAAAACTACATTTAAAATAATTTAAGTTACTATATCACGTGTCAAAACGTCACTCTTTCTATAGTATCTCAGTAATTGGACGAAATATAATATCACGTGAAAATCACAAAATTTGACGCTTTACTGCCATGCACTTGCATGGTGGGTAATAATATGTTGTGGACTGGAAACAACCGGACATCACGTGACATGCGAGCAGCGTTTCAAGTTTTGCTGGAAGTCTCTGGAGAATGATATTGATGGCCAGGAGAAAGTCCAGAATCATGCTATAGAAGGGTACCCCTCCCCCCCCCGAAAATTTTCAAAAAAAAAACATTTGTGGCCAAATCAGAGAAACTAGGGATCCAAGGATAGTGTGAAGTTTCAAATTTAAAAAGACACTGTAAGAACTATATAGGGTCGCCGACAACCTAGAAAAGCTGATGGCTTACACTACGAAATAAACAGTTACCAAAGGTATTTCATCTCATTATTTATTGCTTTTAATGCGCTCGGCACACGAGTAGCGTGACGTTTGAAACAAGCCTAAAACATCAGAAACATGCCTTGTGAAACTGATGCAATTTATCTGTTTATTGTGATGCTACACGCGACAATTCGAAATTTAAATTGTTTCACCAACAACCAAATTTTGCATATTCTAAATTCTCATTTGCATTTGCCGTTGCAGCTGTCGCTAAAAGCATGCCCACGAGGCTACTGCTATGCTAAATTTATCTAATAAACTATAACTGAAATAGCTGTATAAGATATGTTATGAATAATAAGCACTACGTCGTTACATCATTAAAAGACGCATTTTATCCTCATCCGTTCCGTATTTTATCCGCATATCCGTTCCGTGGATCCGCTTCATCCGCTTCCGCATTTTAACCTAATTGTGACATGTTTCACAATAACAAGTCTCATTGACCTTTGGCTTTTCCCAGTGTCACGTTTGTCTATTTTCAGCTTTTCGCATGTGTTGAATAATGTCACTTTAGATTTCAATAGTTTCTGATACAGTCACAGAATAAGGTACACAGAAGGTCGACTCGAGTAACGCTGCCACGCCATGATTCATCATCAAAATGCTGACGCCATGGTCCTAGCCAGTGCGGGTTTGAGAGGCATTCCCCCCTGGACATCCGCCATTTTGAATAATATCAGGGGGGCGAATGCCTCTCAAACGCGCACTGGCTAGGACCATGGCGTCAGCATTTGATGACGAATTACAGGTTACGCCAAAATCATAGCAAAATCATAGGAAAAACAAAGAAGTCGGCCTTCTGTGTACCTTCTTCTGTGATACAGTTCTGGGTACAGAATACTACAGATTGATTCTCGTAAGATCTGGTAGAGTTATCGTTGCACTGAACACGAGTTTGCACCGTTGACAACGGCGTTGTGCTAGACAGTAAACAAACACAAGGACAAGGTCCGTGACGGTACTGGCTACATGTACCTCCTTGCTTTTTTCTTCTATTGCATAAAGCTTGTTGGCGAGCCAAGCGATTGGCAATAACACGTGGCGATAACACATTGGCTATCTCCTCGTCTTTCTTATTTATTTAAGGAGCTCTGACTCAACTGATTTCTTTAGTCTCGCAACGTCAAACGTTTACCCGCTTCTGTTTAATAGTTGTTTATGCTTTATTGATCTGATACAGATCTGATGCAATTTTTCGCTCTTTGTACTGAGTGTAGCCACGGTTAATAGATCTAGTTCTATTAACCGTGGTGTAGCCATCTATTCTGTGATGTAGCACCTTATACAGTCAATGACAAGGGCTTCTGAAAGCAATAAGCGCAGAAGCCCTATAAATAATATCGACGGTAATGAATAACATCAATTTATATATTGTATTATTATTATTGCGTAGAATCTCAAAGATTTTCTCAATATTCATGTCTGAAATGTTTATATACTTGAAAACAACACTGTCTCGCTTCTGCATACACGTACTGTACCTCTGTATAACGAGTATGCAGTGAAAATAATATCGGCACTCAATCGAATGCCTAGAATCAAGATTTTCGACTCAATATTTACGTCTGAAATGTTTATACACTTGACTGCACTGTCTAGGCGGTCTAGCTCTTTCCTAGCTCTGTATAATGAATATACCGTCTGAATATTATCGACACTTAATTGAACGTCCGTAATGCATAAGATCAATTTATATATTGCGTAGATTTTCAAAGATTTACTCAATAACACGTCTGAAATATTTATACAACTGAAAACAACACTGTCACTCCTTCCTAGCATATCGTCACGCCATCGTGATCTACGGCTTGATAGCGCATGCGCATTTGAGCTACTAAAGAAAAAATCGGGTGTTCCGGGGTAAAGATCCTGTACACAACATGAGAAGCGAATGTTCTAAAATTTACAAAAAATTACAATAACGAGAGCGATTCCTCGAAATTTTTGTGAACTTGGCAAAAGGATAACAGAATATGTAAATAAGTTAACTGAAATTGCCTAAATAACTTTCAAAGTACTGACTAAGTACAATAAATCACTACGAACATAAATCGTATACACCCCCCGGAAAGTTTACTCTATGACTGATTCGTGTGAATTCGCCAGCCATCACAATAGTGTGAAGTGAAACTTCACACTAAAAAGATGAAAGAATTTTTTTATGATTGAATTGCAAAGTTCATTTAACTTAAAGTGCTTATGAAACGAATTTTTTTTTTTTCTCATTTTTTATTGTTTCATTAAAAGGTACTCCTCAAATGATGAAGAATGACGTTTACAGTTTATTCGTATCTCATCTCATTCCCAAGTTATCGCACTTTGTGTATTTTGAGTTGTGACGTCACAAGAAGGACTTGAGATAATGGCAATAGATAGATAGATAGATAGATAGATAGATTTAATAAAATACTTCGCAGCCATAGGCTGAATTGCGTATTTTTTTACAAGTAAATTTAACTAATTACGAGAATATAAAAGAAGAGTTTATCAAGCCATTATGATGACATTCCATATAAATATTATATATACAAGATGTTTATTACTTTAATATACTAAAAAATTTAAAATTTCAATAGCATTAGATAAATGATTTGCGGCACGAAGCCACAAAAAAACTAGTTTGAAAACGATTAGTGTTACATCTAGGAATTTCAAATTTCCTATCGTTTCTTAACTCATAAAAAGAAGTATGTATAGGTGGCAGTAAACTTCGTAACTTATGATTTTCATCAGCAACTACTGTTTGAAATAAACTAGTACAAATATTTTCATGATGAACAGACAGTGACTCCAATCCACAACTAATTAAAGCGTCGTCGTAATTAGTGTTTGGACAGATGATTCTAATAGCTCTTTTTTGTAATCTTTCCAATTCGGAACGCAAGTATTTTGGCAACGAATAGTAAATGACAGGGATACCATAGTCGATAACAGATCGAATACATGTAACATAAAATAGAACCAGATCATTCCGAGGAATACTGGCCCGTTTGAGTTGGATCAGGTAATAGATTCGTTTGGATACTTTTTTAACTACCTCTTCAATATGTAGATTCCACGTCAGGTTATTATCGAATGACAAGCCCAGAAGTTTAACGGATTTTACGACTCTAATACTTTTATTGTTAATAAGTATCGGGTTAAAATCACGAGGGACTTTTGAGAAGGAAATGCGGAGCTCCTTACATTTCTCTTCATTCAGCTTCATTTTATTGTTTTGGGACCATTGTGACATCTCATTAGCAATTGTCTGTGCTCTACTCTGTTGGTTTTTGTTAACTGTTTCCGATACTGTCGTATCGTCCACGTATTTCCATAAGTCAGTATCTGTGATAGATAAATCATTTATCAGGATTAAAAAGAGCCATGGACCTAAAATGGTGCCTTGAGGGACGCCCGAAGGTACTGCACCCCAATCTGAAAAACATCCTTGTGAAAGTTTGACTCTTTGGAATCTGTTACTTAAGAAATCAATAATCCAATTTATAACACTTCGTGGTAGATCTAACTGAAGTAGTTTATTGAACAAAAATTCTGTGATCAATTAGATCAAAAGCTTTTTGGTAATCGAATAGAATGATTCTAGTTGTAGAACCGGTACCGTCAAGCCCGGAGGTCCAGTTATGCACCATACTAAGAAGAGCAAAAATCGTCGATGATTTAGGGATTGCTCCATACTGATTGGGGTCAATTTTCTTCAAAACAGCTGGTTTCACATAATCATTAACAACGAAATGCTCTGCAACCTTCGAAATATTAGGTGTTAATGAAATGGGCCTAAGTTCTTTTTTCAGGTCCTGTACTATTTTTACTTTTGGCAGCGGTGAAACATTCGCAAGTTTCCATATTGCAGGTAGGCGTTGTTGTTTGTAGGATGCATTTAGAAGCAGACTAATTGGGAGGGCAAGGATTACAGCATACTCTCGCAAGAGCCAATTGGGCACTTCGTCAGGGCCACCACTTTTACTGGGGTTGAGTTTTTGTAGCTGTGATAAAACCCTTTCTTCAGAAACTTCTAAGAAGTCTGGGTTTTCCTCTAAGTTAAGTCGCTCTAACGGTGAAGATAGTTGATATTCTAATAAGGGCTCAAGAAAAGCTGTATTTATTCTGTTTGCTAGTTCTTGTTCTGATATATCTTCAAAACCAGCGATATTTATCAAATTTATTAGGGAGCTATTCATTGATTTCATTCCTCCTAGGCGTTTGATTTCACTCCACCAAGTTTTAGGGTTATCTTTTTCTTTACTG